GGCATTCCTCATGCATGCCGGATAATAGAGATTTTACTGTACATTTCAGTGTCGTTTAAATATAAAAGAATATACCCATTCAGATTTCAGGTAGTAGCAAGATGGTTGGCCTATGTAATATGTTTTGGTCATGAAGTGTTAAAACCCTTTGGATTTAAACCATCAGTCCATAAAACAATCGCCTGTGTTTTCTTTTCTTGAAACCCCCTCCCCCCCTCCCCCAACAACAATTATATTGTTTTCCCTCCCATAGAAAGAAGACTGATGAGAATTAAGGGTTTGTCTCAGGAAGTGACCTCGAAGGACATGCTGCATACTCTTGCCCAAGCAAAGAAAGAATGCTGGGATAGGTTTCTGCAGGAGAAATTTGAGTCTGAATTTTATATTGAGGAAAACGAATCTGATGAGAGGTAATAAGCACATTGATGAGGAAAAGCAGTTCAAGAGCTACCATCCTTGTTAGCAGATAGGCTAGAGCTTTCTTTGTTCCAACTCTCCCTTTTGTTCGTTTGTTTTAAAAAGGAAAACAGTTGGTATGTGCATGAGTATTGTAGTAAAAACAGTACTTATCTTTTTGCATCTTCTGCTTTGCTAACATTATCATAGCAGCTGTGTGACTGGTAAGTAGCCATATCTCCACCTTAAATATAAAAGCAAAGGAGGCCAAGGCCTGCATTTTCAAAGGTGGTCACTAAATTTTTGAGTGCTTCAAATTTTAGGGATCCAACATGAAACAGTTGAGGCCATTTTTTAGCTTTCATTGCTACATTTTGGGTGCTCAGAGGCTGAAAATTTATTAAGTTTGGTGATTACAAATAGTTAGCTATAAGCCTAACATGAGAAGCTCCAAGCAGGCCAGTGTTTGCATCTGTGCATAACTCCACTGAAGTCCATGTAGCTTCAAGCAGGTGAAAGTGGGGGACACACCTATCTATGGAGCTCCTTACATGTTTAGGTCCGATGGGGGGAAGTTGGTGCCAAAGTTGAAATATGAAGTCCCAAAACTGTGGTTCCCAGTCTTGTGTTCAGCCTATAGTGTTTGTGTACTTTCTCACATAAATGATGAGTAAAGATGAGAGGACTTTTCTGCTGCAATTTCATATTTTTAGTGACTTATATTTTTCTGAAAAATCACTCCTTTTTGAGCTGCAGTTTACCATGATTACTTCCATTTCAAAGAGGATTGCTTTTCCTTGAGACCTGTGGAAAGAAGACCCATTAAAGCTAATTTTAGAGTATAAATGTGAGAGAGAATTTGTACCCCAAATAATTTTCTTGCTTTTTCTTCAGTCTGTCAACTTTAAGTGAAAAACAGCTAAGTAATGAAGACCCAACTGCTCATTGTGGAAACTTTTTTAAGGTTGAAAAAATATTAAGAAAATATTGTCCCATCTCTTCTCCCAGTTGACTTCAGTAGGTATATCATTGTGAAAACTTCAGTGTTTGATCCACTGAAATTGGGTATGGCAATATTGCTGGTATCAATGTCTGAGAATTTAAGCATACAGTTGAACAGAAACTGGACCGTGGGTGTTTTTAGAACAGTAGCATTCTACATTAGAGTTGAAGTACGCATTTAAATAAGGGAAGAGATCTGCCTAGTATGCTATATTAGCATATAGCACTATAAAATGTTCAAGGATAAATGCAGTAGCATGTTAATATTTTAAGCAACCTTCTCCAAATAAATTTCTTCTGACCTGACAAAGGGATGGGCTAGATTTGCCAGCAGGTTTTTTCCACAGCATGATGGTATTTTAAATTGGAGAGGCTAAGTCACAAAGCTTCACATGGGTTTCCTAGAGCAGTGTTTCCCAACCAGTGTGCTGTGGCACAGAAGCGTGCCATCAGAAATGAACAGGCGTGCCATGGAATTTTGCCATGGCAATGAGCTATGATAGGTATGAGGATGGGGAATGCCTTAACAGGTGTGTTGCAGAAAATGTTTATTAATGTAAGTGTGCCTTGGGCTGGAAAAGGTTGGGAAACATTGTTCTAGGGTTTTTTCCTTACTAGACATACTTAGTCGGGGAGAATTACACAAATTCTTCAGAGATCAGCTTTTACCTAGCAAATAAACCTAACAGTAGAGGTGCACCGATATAAAGAAAATTGACTATATTGGAAATCAGCCATATCTGGCCGATAAATGGCCTGTGCATGTGCGCAGCGCAATGCAGCACAGGTGGCAAGGAGCACAGCCTGGCAGAGTGGAGAGCTGCCTCCAGCTGGTAAGTCTGTTGGGGTGGGGGGGGCAGATCAAGGCCCCTGCGGTGAGGGAGGGCTGGGGCTGGTGTGGTGGGGGTGCAGATCAAGGCCCCCTTCCAGTCAGGTTGGGCATGAGACCAGTGGCTCCCGGCTGAGCGGTGTGCAAGCGGTGGGAGTCGTACCCCACCATGCACCTCGTATGAGTCATGGCACTGTCCAACGCCCACCCTCGGCTGGGCAGTGCTTGCCCCAGCCCCACCCTTCCCTCACTGCATGGGCCTTGATCTTCTCCCTGCACACCCCTTTCCTTCCACCACACCAGATTTACCAGCTGGAGGCAGTTCTCCACACTGCTGGGCTGGTATCGGAAATCAGATCAGTATTAGCTGATATGTCTCCTTAAAAATCAGCTATTGGTATCGGCTGCAAAAACCTCTTTCAATACACCCCTACCTAACAGTAACGTTTGGGTACAGCATATGTAAAATATCTCCCAGAAATGTTAAGTTTCACAGTGCTAAATCGGGGTGGACAAAATGCAGCCTATGGGCTGGATCCAGCCTGCCAACTGATTATACCTGGCCTGCAAGTTGCTGGCTGCAAAGTCATAGGATCCAGCCCATAGGGAGCCAGTGGTTCTGCCTGCTGCATTATGCTCCGTGGGCAGGTACATCCCAGACCCATTCACAGCTTACACCAGCTTCTGCCCTGTGTGCCAGAAGGAGTACCAGTTGAATGCTGGCAGCAGCTGTGGATGCTGCCTGCAGGCCGGGGATCAGGGCAACTGTTGGGGACTGCAGCTGATGCAGCAGCATCACCTGCGGACCCAGGAGAATGTCCTATCACCAGGGGGAAGCTGCTGCCTGCATCTGCAGCTGATGCCGGTGCCTGCCCGGTGCCACTTCTGGTGCATGGGCTGGGAGCTGGTGTGAGCTGCGGGGCCATGCTGTAGGTGCGGGACAGTTGGGGGTAGGGGTGGAAAGGAGAGAGAGAGGCAGCCCTGACCCTTGATGAGCTCCACCAGCCAGTGTTGGATGCCAGGCAAAAGCAGGACCTGGCAGTTGGCTCACCCACTGCTTCTGGGGCCCTTCTGACTGCAGTTGCCCAGAGCCCCTGCCAGGACTGCCCTGTGGCTCCTTCCTGTTGCTGTTGCCCTGCACCACCTCCAGGCCATCCTGGGCCTGCAGGGTGGCAGTAGCAGCAGTGGAGAGGAACCACAGCCAGAAGGGCCCTGAAAGTGGCGAGCGTGCCTGCTGCTGGGTCCTGCTTTTGCCCGGCATGCAGTACCGGCTGTTGCTGCTCATCATAGGCAGGACCACCTCTTTGTCTCACCCTTGTCCACCCTTGCCCCTCCCCAGCCATCCTGCATCTACAGCTTGGCCCCACAGCTTGCACCAGCTCCTGGCCTGTGTGCTGAAAGCGGCGCCAGGTGAGCACCAGTATCAGCTGCAAGTGCAGGCAGTAGCTTCCCCATCGGGATTGGCATCTACCCCAAGGAGGGACTTGGGTAGGCTGGAGGCTGAAGCTGCTGCCTCAGCTCCATTCACAGCCCCATCCCACATAAGATTTAGTGAGCTGTCGGGGAGCGGGGGGGATGCTGCTCTGGCCTGTGGTAGCTCACCTAAGCTCCCTGTGCTCCCAAATACTTGCCCACCTCTATGCTAGGTAATGTCCTCAGATGCATAAGGTAAAGAAAAAAGAAATTTTTCTGGGTTGAGTTGTACATTGCCTTAAGTAGCACAGATTTCTTGTTTTGTTTCAAGATGTTGCCCTCTGTATTTTGAACTGTAGTCCCAGAGGCTCAGTGTCCTGATTCATGACTTAAAACCATTAGGATGGTAGGGACCAAACTTTGTCTTCTCTGCCTCTGGCCGGAGGAAGCCTAGAGGAAATCCCTATGGAGAGATACTCTGCCCCTTTCCTATCCCCCACTCCCTTTTTAACTCAATACTGGCTTTGCTGCTGCATTATATTTAGGTTCTCTCCCTTGCTTTCCCTCAGCACTCTGGAATATTTGAAGCGGTGGCTCCAACCTGACAAAGTAGCAATCAGCACTGAAGAAGTCCAGTGCCTAATTCCTCCAGAATCTCATCCGGACAAGCAAGAAAATGAGGAAGAACCTCCAGCAGCAAAACAGTGAAATGCACTCCAGACATGTCAAGGCCTCCTATCCAAGGACCAATAGAGTTCATTCAGTAGTAGTAACAACAGATTGGGAGAGGAAAAGTGCCAATTATTGGTCAGTAAGCTATTGGCCTTCAGAGAACAAACTTTGTGACTAGTGGTTGGTATGGAGAGGGGCGAAGTGCTCTGCAACTCTGTGCATGCTGGACCTAGATCTTACTTTTTATCTCATAGTTTCATAGTTGGTAGGGTCAGAAGGGACCTGAGCAGATCATCAAGTCCGACCCCCTGCCATGGCAGGAAAAAGTACTGGGGTCAAACGACCCCAGCAAGCTGTTTGTCTAACCTCCTCTTAAAGACCCCCAGGGTAGGAGCCAGCACCACTACGCTTGGAAGTTGGTTCCAGGTCCTAGCCGCCCGGACTGTGAAGTAGCGCCTCCTGATGTCTAGTCTGAATCTACCCTCTGCCAGCTTGTGACCATTATTTCTTCTCACTCCTGGTAGTGCTCCGGGGAATAGGGACTTCCACAATGCCTGCTGGTCCCCTCTGACTAGTTTGTAACAGGCCACTAGATCCCCCCTCAGCCTTCTCTTGTGGAGGCTGAACAGGTTCAGGTCCCTTAGCTTCTCCTCGTAGGGCCTGCCCTGCTGCCCCCTGATTATGCGGGTGGCCCTCCCTCTCAATGCTGCCCACATTCCTCCTGAAGTGCGGTGCCCAGAACGATGCAGTACTGCAACTGCAGCCTGACCAGTGCTGCATAGAGGGGGAGGATCACCTTGGACCTGCTTGAGACGCATCTGTGGATGCATGACAAGGTGTGGTTGGCCTTCCTGACCGTGTCCCCACACTGTCGGCCCATGTTAATTTTGGCATCAATAATGATTCCAAGATCCTTTTCTGCCTCTGCACTGACAAGAAGGGAGTTCCCCAGCCTGTAGGCATGTTGCTGGTTCTTCCTCCCCAGGTGCAGCACCTTGCACTTGTCAGTGTTGAAACCCATCCTGTTCTCATCTGCCCACCCCTGTAACCTGTCTAGGTTCAATTGCAGCCTATTTCTCCCTTCTAGCATGCCCACATCCCCCCACATCTTAGTGTCGTCAGCAAATTTGAACAGGGTGCTTTTTACCCCCTCATCCAAGTCACTGATGAAGATGTTGAACAGCGCGGGTCCGAGGACCGAGCTCTGGGGGACCCCACTGCCCACATCCCTTCAGGTCGAAAATGACCCATCCACCACCACTCTCTGGGTGCAGCCCTCCAGCCAGTTAGCGACCCATTTAACTGTGTATGTGTTGACGCCACAGTCCCCTAGTTTTTTAATGAGAATGGGGTGAGAGACGGTGTCTAAGGCCTTCCTGAAGTCCAGAAAGACTACGTCCACTGCTACCCCTGCATCTAAGGATTTTGTGACCTGGTCATAGAAGGCCACCAGGTTGGTCTGATGGGACCTGCTTCTAATGAACCCATGTTGGTTCTCAATCTCCCATCTTGTAGCAATCTAGCCATTCCAGATTTAAAGGCAGTTATTTGTAATTTACCAAGAGCAGTACAGAGCTTAAAGTGGCTGTTCGGAAGGGTCAGAAAATCTGATGCTGTACAATGGAGCAGATTGAAATCTTAACAACAGTCATTTCTGCCTTATTGGACCTCTTTCTGTAGTTATCTATTTCCCAGAATTACCCTTTGGCTGCTCGCTTCATGGGCTTTATTCAGGCATTGATCCTTTGCAGCAAATTGCACTGTGATGTAAAACTGCACAGTTTGTCTGAGTTGGCTCTGAACTATGTCTTGGAGAGGTAAGAAATGTAAGTCATGCCCAGGTTGGGGGCAGACTGAAGGAAACCCTACTCTCAAACAACTATTACAGAAATGTATTTAATATTCCCTCTCCTTGTAACATGCTGGACTATCATGTTCATCAAACAATCTGATATGGAAAGAATTATTGTATGCTCTGCTCTGTGTCTCTGTCCCTCCATTCAAACTCTTGTAACCGTGGAAAGGGACAGACCTGATCAAAATCAGGAAAGCAAATGTAACATGGGGGTTACGAGTAAGCAGCTTACTGCTTTTGTGTTAAATAGTTCAGTATGAGACTACCTTTAAGCCTGTTCTTTTTACATAAATTTACTGTCTTTTGATTCTTTGTTGCCTATGCAGAATTGTCCCTGTAATTCTTATCTTGGAATGAGTCTTGACTCTTACAGTGTAGCTGCAATTTCTCTTCTGTGATTTGGCAATGAAAACCAGCAGAGAATAGCAGCCCGCACCTGCTACTGAGGACAGTTCTTAAAGGAAAACTGTAGCAACTCGTTCTAATGCTTTATAGAGCTGGATCTGCATTTGGAATACAATAGAACTGTATGCAATTGCAGTTTTGAAACAGCTGTTTGACATACCTGCCACAGTTTTCATGTTACATGTATAAGTGTGACTGGTGCTATTATCCTTTTTAGTGACAGTTGCTGTTTTATTGCTTTAGCTGAGCAGAAATTCCATTCTAATCACTCATGGCTTGTCTACACAGGGAAATTTACTAGCAGAACCATATTACTATAATTACATTGACATAACTCTTTTCTCCAGAATAAGTGGTCACATGAAGGGTTATGGTATACATCAGTCAATAAATTTCCCTATTTAGGCAAGCTCCTAGTTTTGAGATTCTGGGGGAATGCATCATTTGAAACAACGCCAGTGACGAGAGACCGAATTCTGTTAGCTTCTGTTTAAAATTTCACTAATTTAATTCCCCTACATTTAAAAATAATAGAATGTTAAGTCAAACTGGAAGTGTCCTGCTTTATTACACATCTGGATAATGAGGTGTGTATTCTGCAACTGAAACGACATTGCCAAGCTAATGAGAATGACTTACTGTTTGATAAGTGTAAGGAAAAAAAAAAGCTACTAATTTCCATTTCTTCCTAATTAGAAACGGTGGTAAGATATTTTATGTTGTACTGCATTTTTCCCTTTTGAAGCTGCTCTTAAGGGGATCATGCACATGCAGAATCTCAAACTAACTGTGAAACTCCCAGTCAAAAATGTGGGCCCACAAGCGTAATATTGGATAATATCAAACAGAAGTAAACTAGTCTTGGTGAGTTATATTTTATGTATGAGTAATTTATATTTTCATTTCCATTTTAGTATATTAACTTTTTTTGGAGAGATCAATCTTTAATTTTTTTCTGACTTTTCTGTTGAAAGCACTGTATAGAACTTCAGTGAAAAAGAGGGCCGGGTGGCAAGAACTTTGAGCAGCCCCATACTTCACACTGACGTGCCATCAGTAATGTGACTTTCCCATCCATCATGACTGCACTGTCTGCTGTTAATGAATTTCTGCTTCCTAATAAACTGTGGACCTATAGTGCCTTTGCCTAGTGAGCACTATCTGATTTTTTAATCTAGGAAATGGAAAAGGGAATGGGCCATGTACTTGGATTTATCCGAAGTAGCAGACAGTCGTCTTGACCATTTTTTCTGCAGCCTGTTGTGCTGAGGATATCTGATCAATATGGAAGGGGTTGCTAAAAATTGCTATTCTTTTGCAAGTGTAAAAAAAAATCATTTTTTCCAGCTTGCAATTAGAGATCTAATTCATTGCCAAATGGTGAATATGCACTGGTGTCCTGAATAATTGAACTTAAGGCCTTACAATAACGATTGCCTTAATAAACTTGGATCAAATAGGATTAATAGCAAAAAGGTTAACAGATGCCATATAAAGGAGTGGGAGAAGAGCACTAATGCTAGCAATCTTGGGGGATATTAATAAAACATTTGTAAATAATTCTGTCAACAAGTTTGTACCCAGTAACATCAATGGGAGTGTTTTACTTGCTTCCAAGTGTACAGGATCAGGTTTGTTCACCTCTAGATACTCAGCTGCTTGCAGGCAGAGCTGCTGTATGCATTTGCTGAAAAGTAACCCTGGACGAAAAATAGGAAAACTTCAACTCCTATTCATGATTGTTAGGAAGGGATTATGACTGTGAAGTGATGGCAAATAGGTATGTGGGCTCTAAAGCCCCAACAAAACATCATGAAAATCTTCAAAGATTTAGATTTACTAAGAGTTAAGCTCTAGAGAATTGCTCTTACTTGGAGATCTGACTTGCACTCTGCCTACTCAGACTTGGGGAAAGTGTAGATCCAATGCCTCTAGCTCAGGATTATTTTTGTGTATAACTCAGGGGTCAGGAAACTTTTAGGAGCAGTGGGTTGAAATAACACAACTCTGTTGGAGGTGAGCTGCTGCTGCCTGTCACCACTGCTTCCCACCACCAAATTGCTGCCAAAGTGCATGTGATCTGGTTGTTGCTGAGTACTGCAGAATTCCCTTACCCCACAACCTTGCCAAATTGCTCAGCTGCTAAAATGCTGCTGATATGGGTTTGGGAGTTGGCTTTGGCGTGCAGGCTACAGGTTGCCAATGCCTGGTCTAACCTGATCGAGGTGTATGTAGCAGATGGACAGAGCTGACTTGCTATCTTGAGAATAAACAAGAATAAAGGGGATTGCCTCACAAATTACAATTTAAAATTGGATAGCCAAATACCAGTGATATATAAAATAAGGAAAATTGAAATAGTAAAAAAAGTATGTGTGTTACACCTAAAATGTACATGTATGTATACAGTAACCAATACAATACAAATTGGAGGGTTTTTTAGCTAGACACTATGGATTAATAGAAGAATGCCATACACACTTGCATATGCATGCTAAAAATATTTTTTCTGAAACTGACAAGACCACCAGAACTTAAAATTAAAAACTTCCAAAAATACCCAGTAAGTCATTTCAGAACCCATACTTGTACAAAAAAATCCACACGGGACAAAGAAAATATCACATCAGAAACTATACATGTTACAGTCTAAGCTACTTGAATTGTACCCTAACAAAGACCTAGGAAAGGGAAAATTAAAGTCATGGATAGATTGCGAGTAGAACAATATAAATATAACAATATAAAATGCAAATAAATCTAAATAAGAAGTAAATCTGACTCTAGTATGGTTCAGGATGCTGAAGAATGCTATAGGATACTAAATAGACTTAAGGCTAGTTTACACTTAAAAGTTCTGAGAGCAGAGCTGAGTCAGTAAGGTGTAACCCCCATGGCTTTGCTGGGAAAATGACTGCAGTTACATCTGCTAAGAAACTGCTTTTGCTGATACAGGTTATTTTGTTTGGGGAAAACTGGTGCTATTACGTGTCTCCCCTCTGGAGAGATTTGCGAACATAGCTAAATAAGCAAAGCAGTTTAGTGTAGACAGCTGTCCAGTCATGCGCTCCATTCATGAGCCCCTGTCTTTCTGTATCTGGATATAAATACA